ACAGTGCAGGACAGCAGAGGGGGGGGGGGGTAGTCTCCTACAAGGGGCTTACTGGGGGGTCATGTTGAAGATGCAGGAATCAGGGCCCTTTTGAATAGATGTAAAATGTTCTCCACAATCAGGTCTAGTGTGTTATGCAATACACCCACACAAACTGTCAGTATTTTTTTGTCATTAATTAGGGAATTTACTATACCTTTCCCAATTAATTTAATCTGTGTTTTCAGAATAGACACATTTACATGAACATCCGAGATAGGATGTCCCAATGTCTCAACACTGCGCCTCACTAATCCCGCAATCCTCCATAATACCCGGATGGCCCACATTTGCGTCTACATAAAGGGGCACACCTTAACTTTACAGCTCAGAACCCTCAGGTCACGTGCGCTGTTTCTCCGCGCTCTGTCTGTATGCATGAATAATTGCTTCCATGCTCCGCACTCACCTCAGTCCCAACAGTGCGATTTTACCATGTTTTTCCGCGTCATTTGCAGTGTTTTAACATGAAAGCATGAAGACCTTGACATTTTTCAGCAGTTGTACACGTTGCTGGGTCTGTGAGCCTCACGTTACTTTTCTCATCTGCTTCCTTTCGGTTTAAAGAAAAAACTGCTGAATTTCTCGTCTTTCTAACTGCTAGATCCCGTTAAGGATTGCGGGGTCACTTCACAATTATTTATCCAAAATTTAATATCAGCAACTGACAGTTTATGTCTGGAAGCAACAATTTGTTGTGCTTTATTTGGGAATTATGTGATGCAAAGGACATTTTATCTTACATAATCTTACATAATGTGGAACCGACGCATTAACGTGTTAATATCACTTTGATAAACATTTCGGAATGTTTGAGAGAAAAACAGTTAAGTATTTTTTATTTAAGCACATAAATTACCAGTAAATACTGATGCTCAGGGTTAGAGGGAGACGCTTTCCTCCCAGTCCACATGCCATCTTTCCTTTCTTGCTCGTCACTCTTCTCGGTGCCTCCATATGGCCCGAGTCCCCGTCAATCACATACGGCCCGCCGGCGGCTCCCTGCGCTATAAGCTGCTCTGATATGGCTGCGTCTGGCGGACGGTAATAATACCGTGCGACTCGAAAGAAGAAAGGACAGAAAGAAAAGAGGAAGAGGCAGAAGAAAGGAAAACGGAGAGGGAACGGCGTGCCGGATGACATAAGTGCGCTTCATCATTCGTGCTCAGAGGGCATAACGCTGGGAGCGTCTGAGATCCTGCAGAAGAAGTGAAAGAAGAGGGGAAAGAGAGTGCGAGAGAGTGAGAGAACGGAAAAGCTGCGATCGTCACCGCTCCTCCACCGGAATGATGAAGAGCATCTGGATCATCTTTACCATCGGACTGTCAGCTTTTCTTTCGGGAACCAGGGTAGGTGTGGAGGGGGATTCGGGAGCCGCTGCGAACCCGTGTCACTCATCACCTATAACCCCGGATAAACTGCCCCGCAGCTATTAAGTCACAGACCGCGGCGCTTGGGCTCCTACGGTACCGTCCGGTCCGGATATGAGCGCTACCCTCCCAAAAACTTTGATTCCCCCGGTTTGATTAAAAGCGGAGACGGCCATCGGGCTGCGGTTTCATTGCCATGACAGTGGCGACATGTTCAGACTTAGTTAAGTGTAAAAAAGAAAAGAAAAAGAAAACAAAGATCTGTAAACCATGTGTGTCATGGTTTAATAATGCCATAGACTGATGGATACAAGTTTTCCTTATTTATATACTCGCGTTCTTAGTAGGTCTATAAACAATTATTATTGTTATTATTATTTTAGTTTTTGTAAGACTGATATAAAATGTTATCGGGCTGATTGTGAAGAAAACAAAATTTCCCCGGAAACACTGTAGGCTAAATAAAGCCTACAGTGTAAATTACATCTTTAGGGGAACTTGGGAAATCACAAGTTAAATACATTTAATGAGGTTCGTCTTTCTGTACTGTTGCGGGGGGAAATTATTATTATTATTATTATTATTATTATTATTATTATTATTATTATTATTATTATTATTATTGACTCCTGCCGTGATCAGTGTTGAGGATACAGTTTGAGTCTCTCTTCAATGAAAAGCCACCATTAAAAGCAGCGTGGGCTCTGAAGATTAATTCATTAGATTAGTGCTTGCTAATATCCGTATTCAAGCGCTCAACCTCAATGTACGGAAGAGGATTAGGGCCACCATGAAAATATTATTTGAATTCTGACTTTAATCTCAGAATTCTGACTTTAATGTAAGAATTCTGACTTTTTTTTCTAAACTCAGAATTCTGAGATTAAAGTCAGAATTCTGAGATTAAAGTCAGAATTCTGAGAAAAAAGTCAGAATTCTGAGATTAAAGTCAGAATTCTGAGATTAAAGTCAGAATTCTGAGAAAAAAGTCAGAATTCTGACATTAAAGTCAGAATTCAAATAATATTTTCATGGTGGCCCTAATCCTCTTCCGTATCAATGACTGTGGATGTTGCAGATGCCGTAATGAAATTACCTTAATTTCTGAATGCTAGTTCATAGGAGCTTTTTGAAGGGTTGACTTTTCTGAGACGCAGGTGTAGCTGATTTAGTTTAGATTGTTATTATATTAATAACGGAACAGAACTAACGTTAAGTGTTTGATTTGCTTTTGTGATTTGCCCGATACTAAAATCACCTGGCAATCTGCCAGGAATAAAATCAAATATGTTTTGTGAGAAATATATTATCCTGATAGCCAGAGATTTGCATCACTTTGGCTCAAGAATCATCAAAGTCTCAAGAAATTCTCAGATCTCTCAAAAAAATCTATATTTTATAAATATTCCTTAAAAATATTTCTAAATATTCATTGAATAAGAAATATTAATTGTAATGAACCATTAGGGGGGAGATTCTCAAAATTATCCATAAATCCATTCGTCTCTGCATCTTCCAGTTGCATTTTCAGGTCCGGATCATAGGGGAAAATAAAAATAAATTTTATATTCAGCATGGTTTAGTGCAGTGTTTCTGAATCTGGTCCTCAGGGTCCTACAGACAGTTCATCTTTTTGCTCCCTCACAGCACCTGGCAGGGAGCAAAAACGTGGACTGACTGTGGGCTCCCGAGGACTGGATTGGGAAACATTGGTTTAGTCCGGGGGGGGTTATGTTATCCGCAAAGGGCCAGTGTGTATGCAGGTTTTTGGGATAACCTACAGGTCAGCTGTTCAAACCCAGGTGTGAGGAACCTTCAGCTAATTAGTCCTCTAATTAGTTACCTAATTAGGGAGTGGCAGCGAAAACCCGCATACACAGCAGCCCTTTGCAGATAAGATTGCCCACCCCTGGTTTAGTCCGTGCTGCAAGCCTTTGCAAACAATAATTATAGTTAATTGAAAACTGTCACCAGCCTTTTTCTTTGCAGTTGTTTTGATTTTGATAGTTCCTGTAAGCGATGAAGTTGTCACCGCCCGGACTGGATGCTGTCTTTGCCTTCAGTGGGGTTGTCTGATTTATAATCACCGGAGTGAGGCTGCTCATCCCTGCTCCTGGAGATCCACCACCCTGCAGAGCTTAGATTGGAGTGTGTGATGTAATTGAAAATTAAGAACTCAGTGTTGTTGAAACTTTTTTTTTCTGCTACCATAATGTGGCACATTTTTTTCACAGTGGTTTTGGTCTATATTGGATAATGTGGGTGAGTCATCTCTCAGTATAGCTTCGCTTGCCTTGGTTTTTGACGCTGCTTCCTGCCGCCTAGCTTCTCTGAAGCTGCTTCCTCTTTCGCAGACACCAGTGTCCTATTGAATCATTGCTTTCCAGTAACTCACTCTAATCTTCAAGTGGTCTTTATTTCCACTGTATTTTCCAGTTACTTGTCGGTCATTTGCGGTCTGTTATTAGGATGCAAAGGGGTTTCTGGGACGACTGGATGACACTGGGTTTCCTGGGAGCAGATTGGCAGCTTTTGGTCTTTGCTGTAGTTTGTTCACATTTTCTTGCATATGCTGTACTGTCCAGTGCACTGGCGTGATGCGTTGGGTTGGGAGTTCGAATCTCAGAGTTTGTGTGTTCCCTGCTGGAGGTCAGCAACAGTCGGGTTAATTAGTGTGTCTGAATTACCCATAGCACATGATTATTTGTGTGCGAGGGCAAGTATGTGCCCTGAGTTCAGAGGCATAGCATGAGGGCAGGCAGTAGCCTGGGGCCCTCAAGCTGGGAGGGGCCCCCGAGAGCAGCGATTACATTACAACAACAGATCTGCTTAATTTGTGTATTCGCTTTTTCAAAGTGAAAATAAAGGACTCGCGTTCATTAAATTCTCTGTGTTGGTATTATTAGACTTAACGCTAAAATAATGGTAATAAATTTTACTGTGTCGGAGGAGGGTGAGTTGGAGACAGGCACAGGGGGGGGGGACTGATTTTCAGCCCAGGAGTTTTATGCCCGATTCCAGCCTATTTTGTCTTCGTTCTGGGGGGAACTTTGATAAATGATGCCCCAGTTCAAGTCTTATTATCCCAATAAAGAAGAAAGTAAATAATAGATCAAGAAGAAAATAAATAATAAATAACATACTGAACTGTTTAATCAGTCTGACTTTATCAGCTCTGCCTAGTATCTTTCTAACATCCATCCTTTGTGAAACTTCCAGTGATTAGGAATAGCAACTGCACACTGCGCCTCACTGCGCCCTAAATGACAAGTGTATCTTTGCATTTCTCTGTGCAGAGCAGTTGTGGTCTAGTGTGTGTGTGTGTGTGTGTGTGTGTGTATGTGCATGTGTGTTCTGAAGATAACATTCTGAAGCGTTTTACATTTTTAAAGTTGTAAAATTATTTTGTATCCGACTGGCTTAATTTTAAACTTCATATTATCGCATTATTTTGTGTCTGACCATCACAACAGCTAAGCGGCCCACTGGGAATTCTCCAGAGTCTCCCGATTGGCCGCTCCGCTCCTGCTTGGGGGGCCCGTGGAGGTTTTTTTCATTGCCTAGGGCCCCCAGAGTTCCTAGAATTGCCCCTCCTTGGACTGGACACTAACTCCAGTCTGTACCCTATTACAGACTGGGACAGGTTCTACAGCCTTGACCCGGATAAACAACTAGAGGATGGATGTATAGATAGATGGATGGATTATCATGTTTCATCAAAAAAGAGACCGAACTTCAGCATGACTCCCTTTGAAATGAATTGTTGCTGTATTCTGTAATTAGCTTGCCATTGTTTTTTCAGTTTAAGTGCAGATTATACAGTATATATATATTAAGGAAGCCCTTTAATACATATTAACACATTAAGATATTCAGAAACTGGGCCAATATGGTGGCGCAGTGGCTGGCATGGTTGTCTTGCACATCTAGAGACCAGCGTTTGTGGAGTCTGCATGTTCTCCCCGTGTCGTCGTGGGGTTTCTTCCAGGAACTCCGGTTTCCCCCCACAGTCCAAAAAACATACTGAGGTTAATTGGAGTTAGCAGATCTCCAGAATGTGCATGAATGTGGCCTGTGATGGGTTCGCGCCCCCCCCCCCCCCCCCAAGCAGGACCAGAAATGAGTGAATATTAAAAAGCATCCAAGATGGCATCCAGTTGAGGAAAACTTAGGGCCAGTGAGCAGTGGCTGAGTGCCCCCCCCCCCCAGGGCCAAGCAGTGATGCTGATACTCTGGTCATACCTTTCTGCTAGCACAGAATGGATAGTAATCTGCATTTTAAAATGCAAACACTCCTCAGAACACTTTTCCTCGCATCTGGACACATTCCTTCACTCTTTGATGTTGAATATGCAGCCTCAAATCTGTGTTGATAAATCAGCCATTCTTGCTCCGTATCTGCTGACACGTGGAAATGGTTAAAATTGTCAAAAAACACAGTAAGTCCACGGTTGTCTGTGTTTGCCTTACGCTGTTACTTGGGGAGAGCAGTTATGTCTAAACACATCTGCTGAGCGTATGTATGTTTGTTTGGAGCGGCAGAGAGTGAGCGCCGGTCCTCCTGGAGATCCCTGGCCCGTGTGAATCGTTTCACATACCAGCCGCCTTCCAAAAAGCGAATGATTCCGAAGGGGAATCTCTCCGGCACTTCCTGTCAGCAGGCACTGCCACTGGAAAGCACTGCCGATTGGCTACTCATATTGCCTACCCGCCCCCCGAAACCCCCGCCCCACCCAACCAACCCTGCCGCAGGCTCTTAATTAGCTCTGCAAAATGGAAAGTTTGAAGGGAGACGATGGGGTTCGGTTCGGAAGGGGTTGATTCTGCCTGCTATAAGCATTTATCTCACTGACCAACTCTCAGTTGCTGGGGAAGGATTTTACATTAGGGGCTATTGTCATCCCTGTTATTGTATGTGGGGTTAAATGGTAGGGGCATGCATGACTCTCGTCTTGTTAAGGGCTGCAGTGCTGTTCCCA